AGGATAGTCTCAATCTCCTGACTTCGTGGTCCACCCGCCTCAGCCTCCCAAAGTGCTGGGATTACAGGCGTGAGCCACTGCGCCCGGCCTTTTTTTTTTTAAGACAGTCTCCTTCTGTTGCCCAGTACCCAGGCTGGAGTATGTTGGCATGATCTCAGCTCACTGCACCCTCCACCTTTCAGGTTGAAGCAGTTCCCCTGCCTTAGCCTCTTGAGTAGCTGGGACCACAGGTATGTGCCACCATGCCCAGCTAATTTTTGTATGTTTTTGTAGAGATGGGGTTTCACCATGTTGCCCAGGCTGGTCTTGAACTCTGGACTCAAGTGATCCGCCCACCTCAGCCTCCCAAGTGCTGGGATTATATGCATGAGCCACTGTGCCTGGCCCAGGCTAAGCCTTATATAGTACCCTGTGCTCTCTCTCTCTCGTGACAGACACCTTCTAAGGTCTGGGTTTTCTAGTCCCTTCGTTTTTCCATCATTCAAAAATTTCACTACAAAAACCTCTATTATTACTTTTTTTTTTTTCACTGTTCTCTTCCTGATCCCCTCAAAAAAAAAAACCTGGGACTACAATTCCATATGTGTTAAGCCACTTGATCTTGTTCCACAGCTCACTGATGCTGTGTTCCTTTTTTTAAATCAGATAGTTTCCTCCTTATGCTGAGGTCTGAAAGTTCTAGGCAATGTCCATTCATAGGACTTACGTTATTTCCTTTCTGTCAAGGATCACTCTCCCAAACTTCCTATTGTCCAATATCTAAAAGCCATTGCTTCATGTGTTTTGTGTTTTGATGCTGAAGGCAGGCTGGGCACGGTGGCTCACGCCTGTAATCCCAGCACTTTGGGAGGCCAAGGTAGGCAGATCACCTGAGGTCGGGAGTTCGACACCAACCTGATCAACATGGAGAAACTCTGTCTCTACTAAAAATACAAAATTAGCCAGGCATGGTGGCACATGCCTGTAATCCCAGCTACTCGGGAGGCTGAGGCAGGAGACTTGCTTGAACCCAGGAGGCAGAGGTTGCAGTGAGCCGAGATCGTGCCATTGCACTCCAGCCTGGGGGACAAGAACAAAACTCCGTCTCAAAAAAAAAAAAAATAGATGCTGAAAGCATGAGGATAATTCTGGTCTCTGTTACTCCATCATGACTAGCAGCAGAAGTCTGCCATTCTTCACAATCCCAGGCCCCATGTTACTAACTATCGTCAAGGGAAGTGGTTTGCAATGCAGAAATTGCTTCAAGCTGGGGGAACTGTAAGTGCAAAGGTCCTGAAGCAGGAGAGGGTTTGGCATAGAATATTCTTGAGGAACAGCAATGGGGTGATAGGTCTGGGGTAGAATAAGGGAAAGAGACAGGAGAGAGTGCTTGCTGGTAAAGTTGTTTGCTACGGCTGCTACAACAATTTACCACACGCTTGGTGTCTTTAAGCAACACAAATTTATTATCACTCGGTTCTGGAGATTTACAAGTTCAAAATGGGTCTCACTGGGCTAAAATCAACATGTCAGGCAGGTCTACATTCCTTTTGGAGGCTCTAGGGGAAAATCCCCCTTGCCTTTCCAGCTTCTGCTGGCAGCCCAGCTTCTACTGGCAGCCCTTGTGATCCCAGTCTATGTTCAACACCAAAAATGGCCAGTCAAGTCCTCCTCACATTGCATCATGGCTAACACATTCTACCTCCCTCTTTCACTTCTAAAGACTCTTGTGTGGCAGGCACGGTGGCTCACACCTACAATCCCAGCATTTTGGGAGGCCGAGGCAGGCAGATAACTTGAGGTCAGGAGTTCAAGACCAGCCTTGTCAACATGGCAAAACTCTGTCTCTCCCAAAAAATACAAAAATTAACTGGTCGTGGTGGTGTGCACCTATAATCCCAGCTACTTGGGAGCTGAGGCACAAGAATCACTTGAACCCAGGAGGCGGAGGCTGCAGTCACCTTAGGTCACGCCACTGCACTCCAGCCTGGGCAACAGAGTAAGACTCTGTCCCAAAAAGAAAAAACAAACAAACAAACAAAAATCCCTAGTAATTACATTGGTACCACCCAATTAATCCAGGAGAATTTTCCCACCCTCAGAGTCAGCTGATTAGCAACCTTAATTCCCCCTTGTCACATAACATAACATAGTCACAGCTTCTGGGGATTAGGACAAAGACATCTTTGGAGACTATTATTCTGCCTACCACAGCTGGGGACTAGATATGTAAATAATTTGGTTTTGTCTCTGAGGTGGGAAGCAACTAGAGTGTGTTGAGCAGAGGACTGCTGTGATCTGGATTTTGTTCTAAAAGGTTCAAACCAGTCCAGGCGTGGTGGCTCACGCCAGTAATCCCAGCACTTTGGGAGGTGGGAGAATTGCTTGAGGACAGGAGTTTGAGACCAGCTTAGGCAACACAGTGACACCTGTCTCTACAAAAAATGAGTTTTAAAAATTAGCCAGATGTGGTCGGGCACGGTGGCTCATGCTGTAATCCCAGCACTTTGGGAGGCCAAGGAGGGCAGATCACTTGAGGTCGGGAGTTCAAGACCAGCCTGGCCAACATGGTGAAACACCATCTTTACTAAAAATACAAAAATTAGCCGGGCATGGTGGCGGGTGCCTGTAATCCCAGCTACT